ATCATGGCTATGTAACCAAAATTCACAAACTCAGACACACTAATAGGTGTTTTACATATCATGGCTATGTAACCAAAATGCACAAACTCAGACACACTAATAGGTGTTTTACATGTCATGGCTATGTAGCCAAAATGCACAAACTCCGACACACTAATAGACGTTTTACATATGGCAATGTAACCAAAATGCACAAACGCAGGCACACTAATAGGTGTTTTAGATATCATGGCTATTAGCAAAATGCACAAACTCAGACACACTAATAGGTGTTTTACATATCATGGCTATGTAACCAAAAACATCATAAGCATTTGGAAACATGTAACAAAACAATTCCAAGTTATTTTTATTCAGACACCAAGCACTAAAATCAAAGGTAATCTGCGGAAGATTTATTCTGACAACTTCAACGACGGAAGTATCTACAAGTACCAATGCGATCAGTGAGACAGCTCTTATATATGCGAAACGGGACGCAACATAAACATTAGGATTAAAGAACATAATAATCCCTCATCACACTTTACGAACACAGCACAACGAATCAACATCCAATTAACGTTAGCAATTTTTAAAATGTTATGCAATGAGAACAACATTAATAGAAGAAAAAGAAAAGAAGCATTAATTATTCGTGAACTAAAACCTATTTTAAATCAAAACACAGATGTCACCCTGTACGTTTCTAAATTAGAACAAAATTCTCGCGCAATATTTCATGCAATAGTTTTTTGTTTGTTTGTTTTTTGAATTTCGCGCAAAGCTATACGACGGCTACCTGCTCTAGCCGCTCCTAATTTAGCAGTGAAAGACTAGAGGGAGGGCACCTAGTCATCACCACCCACCGCCAACTCTCGGACTACTCCCTTACCAACGAATAGTTGGATTGATTGTCACATTATAACGCCTCCATGGTTGAAAGGGACAGCATGTTTGGTGGGACGAGGATTGGAACCCGTGACCCCCATTTTAGTATAGTAAATCTGCGTTTAACTTCTTTTACGTTAAATATTAGACAGGATTGTACTTTAATCGTTAACCCTGATGAGAAATAAGAATAATCCCCAAAGAAGTTCAGAATTTTTAGTTAAATAAGAAATAACTATTTATTTATCTTTAAAAACAACAACAAAAGAACTGGCCTCTTGCCATGGTTTGTGAAAACTTGTACCTACCAGTGAACACAATAAAACACTTAACTTACTGACAGACAACGAATAGAAAATTTATTTGGTGGTTACATACCTGACCAAGAACAATGAGTCCGTGCACTCAAGCAAGTCTTATTTTTTAAAACCAGTTTTCATGGGAACAAGGACAGTAACATTTAACTCAAATATTTTTCATTGTTTTTGAACAGGTCATCTACTGTAAAATCGTGACGGTTTGATTTTTGACTGAAAATTGTAAAGCTAGATTAAAAATAAAATCCGGTTTCTTATCAGATATTTTTAGAAACCTAAAAAGAGTGAAGTTTTTTTTGAAGAACCTGACTGGTATATTGCTCAAACACCAAAATAATCAATTATGTATCTATATATGTATATATATATGATGCTTCAATCAAACCCTTGAATTTCGGAATTTGAAAAACGAAATTTGAGTCGTCAACAATTTCTAGACGCGATTACTTATGCTTTTTTTATTTTTATATGGTCTAATGGAATGATTATAATAAAAAAGGAGAGATTCCTATAACATTGTCAATATATATGATATTTGTAGCCCTAATTGTGTTGAATTTCACAAGTGGAATTACCTTGCGTAAAAATAAACCTATCTATAAATATCTTTATTATTTTTGGTAAAATTCAACATGCTTATTAATAACCAAAACGCATTGTCTCATTAAAACATCTTTGTTTGGTGTTCCAGGTAGTCACAAGAGATAATGTAATTTAAAAGTCAGATTAATTAAATTAGAGGAACAACTGAGCTGACGTCAACTGTGCTTCCTGTCATGCACTCCAATACATTCTTCTTCGTTAATTTAATTTTTGGAATCCTTTATTAAAAGTGAGTTTCATAAAGAGTTTGTAATCAAATACTGTTACAAATGAGAACAATGATTTGTAGCTTTTTTTGGTATGATACGTTTGCCTAAAGCCAAAGAAATAAGGTAAATTACAATCTTAGAAGGTTTTGTCGTGGTAAAACTTACTTATTTCAAGAACATAGTGTTCAGTGCAAGATGGTTGCAATAATAAAAAAATGTTTCTGGTACTTTGTGCCTCTTCTTTTATAATCTGGAAGAATAAGTAGAAGTTCTTAAAAGATTAGGACCAGAAATAAAATAAAAAAATGAGGAGATGAAATGGGAAAAAAAAGAAGGACCAAAAGAGATATAGTGTTTGGAGGATGTGAAGAGACATGGTTAATGGTATAGTTACCGACTGGGTTTTTGAATAAGAAATCTTTAGTACGTGACATGGTTGATCTTATCTGTGACTATTTAGACTTTTGTTAGTTTATCATGCATCTCATTGTTGAAGTGATAAACTAGAGAATGGGATTTCATTGTGCATTCAACAAGCGACATGTAGCGCCGTGTTTCGGTACCAACAGATCTGTGGAACTGTCTTTAACAGGTTTATCTTATTTATTTTTGCCGATATTGAAGTTAGGTATATTCAGTCAGCAACCGTATAAAGTCTTCCAATGAAATTACTTTGTGAAACCATGCATTGAATAATGTTTTGCTGTGTTTGATTATAATAAATAAGTATTAAAGTACTTTGGTTTTAGTCACGTTCACTGGATTTACTGTACGTGTTTAAAAACATCATGAATATGGTACGAAACCGTTGGGAAAGCGCTTTACATACATATAAACTATTTCAAATATATGAAATTTAGGGATGAAATGAATCCTTCCCAAATATACCCCACCCATCTATCTCGACTCTCTAAATATTCTACCTAGCCTCCAAAACCGTATCCAAAAATTAGCCAAAAAATACTATCGAAACACATTAACGAAGCAATTTTCAACACTAGCAGCAACACCTGAAAAATGGCGCACCAACCATTCTTCTTACTATACTTGTAACCATTAACATGTAGTGTGTTAACCCTCTGTGTCTTTTTCTTCTCGTTTCAGGCTCACAGCTCAGGCAGTATTCGGTGTCCTGGTAGTGAAAGTGGGTTTTTCTTGGGGTACTCCCATTTTCCTCCCACAACAAAATTCTGGGTATTGGATCTATAGATCCCCATTCGTTGGTTTGTGCTACACTCCAGTCGCGAGCCGCTTTCGGTTCTTTTCGCTCTTTTGCTTGTCAGACCTACATATCGCGACGAGCTATATAATATGGCTTTCGTGGTAAATTTATGTTTAAATATTTTATATATAAATATATCTTTTCGCGAAGAAATTCCCAAATATTATTTAATCTCGTATGGGGTGAAGAGAAATATATTTCTGAGCACACACAGTTGCATTTGATTTTAAACTTCGAGTTTCGAATCAAATGTTTTAAATTAACTTACTATCATGATGTTGTGGACAATGGGTTTTATAATCAATCAGCTTGAGTAGTATTATTATATATATTTATGTTTTACTATATTTGAGACAGAAATTAAAATAATGATTTGCTGT